GGGGGGGGGGGGGGGGGGGATGGGCGGCGTACCAAAAAGCGGGCTAGAGTGCTTCACGAGAAGACGGCCAGAGAGAAGGGGAATGTGGGTGGGTTGAAGACACGGAGGGGGTAGAGAGCAGTGTCGGCCTCCGCCTATCAACAACCGCCACTTTCTTCCGACAGCGCGTTCGGTAGGCCTAAACTGTCGTCAATGGTTGCTTGCGCGTTTGGATTTACTGCTCTGCACGAAACAATTCGTCCATGGCTACAGTAGCTAGACACGCCCGAGGTTCGGACAGCTTGACAAACGCCACTTTGGGATTTGTCAAGGAAGAATGGGCTGCATGAAATGCTGCCATCCCGAACATAGTTATGAGGAATGCGCTACTACCGTAGTCGTTCGTCAAGCGTCAAAGTGTGCAGTGCTGCGTTTTGGACCTAAGGTTCAAGGACATATCTATTCCAAAAGGCACTTGGGCACACGGCTGTAGCGGAAGCATGAAAGCAGTTATCATCGCCCCTTTAAAGCACACGCCGTGTTTGGTTCTGTTGCATTGTAAGTCCCCTGGATGAAAATCTTAAGCCAATGGAAGACAAGCGGCACTACTGCTGTGGTTGGCCGACACGACAAACACGAGCACGCCAGCCAACGATGTTCATCCAGCCACCCTCTCTGTCCCGCCGGGTTCACGTGCTCCCATACACCGCAAGGCCAAGCGTACATGTATCAAATCAAGCGCGAGTCATTAGCGCTCAAATCGGGAGTGCAACACCGATGACAACAACCAACCGGTGCGACACCACGGGCGGGTGATGAACCGCAATCGCTCGCCAAAATTGTGACCAGGAGAAAAAAAAAAAAAAAAACGAGTACAGAGCACAGCATCTCGATCCGATGTCAACACACCAAGAATTAAATTTCCCGGAATCCGATACCGGTGGCGACGAGCGCGAGAGGTTACATGAAAGCGCCGCGGCTGCATGTTTCTCGGCGCGCCACACCAGACGGTGCCGCTGTTATACCTGTTATACCACCATCGTGGAGTATTTACGTTTGAAAATGAAACTCTGAATAACTTCAGGCAGAACGGAATCTCAAGTCCGTTACGGCTGCGCACCACGCCGCACGGAAGTTCCACCACGAGGCCAAAGAGAACACGCGCGTCGTGAATCGTCGCAACCACGTGGTGGTGGGTATGGAACAGGGGAGTGATAACGACGGACCGACCAACCAAAACAAACAAACAAACCGCGAACATGGAGGACGGCTCTCAACAAACACATCACACACACACACACACCTCTTGAGGAAGTAATCTTCGAAGTCGTTACCCTTGGTCTGGGTCACGTCCTCGGTGCGGTAGCGCTCGTCCGCAGCGGGCTTTGTCAGCCCATCCTTCCAGTCCTCCTCTCCCCCCCCCCCCCCCCCCCCCCCCCCCCCCCCCCCCCCCCCC